TGCAGTATATAAGACGATATTTCCAAAAAGAAATATTCTTGATATGAAAATCAAAACAATCATCGAATAAAAGGACGGCAATGTAGGGCAGTTGATTAATTTAAAAACATTACGCTAGTATAATATATTAATACATATTCTTAACCTCGCATAATCTGGCAACCCGGAAACTGAGCTCAACGAAAATCTTTCCCGGCACCTAACTTTTCTAGGGCTTTTGAATGAACTGTGAATCATTTAAATAAGATCAGTGGAGACAGAGGAGTTGCTTGGACACAGACACACACACAAAGACACACACATACACTGTACTTTATATATAAGATATATATAGGGTGATTGAAAAGTAACACCCATTTTCAAATGCTTATAATTTATTATATATAATTTTGACAAGAAATTGATATGGGATAAAAGTGTTAAGCATGACGTTTCATTTAAATTCTATGTGTGCACTAGGCTTCACTACCAGGAAAGGCCAGTAACCCTTGTACTATGGAAGGTATAACTTCTTGTATTCTCCCTTCAATTACTTCTAAAGTCTTGATTTGGTGTAGAAGACTTGATCTATTCACCATCCACAAAGAAGAAAGTCACAGAATATTAAGTAAGGACTCCTAGCTGGCCACTCACACGTAAAATAAGAACATTATTTACATTATTCGGACTATTGTCCTCATCTTTGTCGCCATATTTATCACAACGTTTCGGCCGTTGTACGCTCCGGCTTTCTTCAGGTGGTTGGAATTTATTTCGTTCACTGGGGTAGACTGTTCTAGTTCCACGTGCCATGTTTAATGGATGTCAGTTATCAGTTATCTCCTGCTAATTTCCCTCTGAAAGTTCTCCACTGCCTTAACCGGGTATTGAACTCACACTCTTTGCGTCCTGTCACTGGATCTAACCAACGCCTTTATCCACTGTGCCGTGTGTTCTTGAAGAAGACCGGAGCGTACAACGGCCGAAACGTTGTGATAAATATGGCGACAAAGATGAGGACAATAGTCCGAATAATGTAAATAATGTACATAATACCTCATCTCAGAAATATAGACAGACTCTGTAAAATAAGAAGTTACTTTACAATCACACACACATATATATATATATATATATATATATAT